CTTCTACCCTAAATTATATTTTTGTCGAAAAAAAATGGTTCATTTACTCACAATATTTTTGTACAAAACAACCCCAAGCTTTTAACCTCTCTTCTGCAGCTTCTAATGCTATCTTAGCGAGTTCATATTCTCTAAATTCTCTCTTTAAATCTTCTTGTTCCCATTGGTCTAGTTCGTATGGCGAGTCTCTATAACCAGAACATATCTCACGTTCATGTTCTATTTGTTTTTCATGCATTTTTCTAACTTCTTCTTCGAACAAAGGTTTTGCATTCTCTACTGTATCTTCAAGTTCTTCTTCATCTAACTTCTCATGAACTTTCTTGTCTATGGAGTCCAGAATTTTTCCAACTGCTATACAATATTTTGGAGAAGCCCACATTGCTATATAGTTTACAAGTCTTGGGTCTACATACATTCCTCTAACCTGTTTGATTTCATCAGGAATTCCTGCATGAACTTTGTATAAAAAGCAACCCGCCGTTTTCCGCGGGTTGGTATATTCTTCACAAAATGCCTTAAAATACTCTTCCCAGGACTTATTTTCCAACAACCTTCTAAAGTCTTTCCTAAACTGCTGACACATATTTGTTACATTTATATAACCATCCTTGTCTCTACGTAAGACTTCAATACCGTTGTAAGTGCCTTTTGTGAATGTTTCGCCATTAGATTTGTTCGTGAACGTTTTTGCTTCGACTGTCATACTGTTCTTACAATAAAAATAAAAAATATTTTTGGCTTAACCGTCGGACATTCGTTTGTGGCTTAACCGTCGGACATTGTCTTGAAACAGTGCAAATATTGTCTTGAAACAGTACAAATATTGTCTTGAAACAGTACAAATATTGTCTTGAAACAGTGCAAATATTGTTCTGAAACAGTGCAAATATTGTTCTGAAAAAGTACAAGTCTTGTTCTGAAAAAGTACAAGTCTTGTTCTGAAACAGAAAATTTTTCTCACAAATTGAGAGCTTTTACGGGAAATTTGTTCTGAAAAAGTACAAGTCTTGTTCTGAAAAAGTACAAGTCTTGTTCTGAAAAAGTACAAGTATTGCTCTGAAACAGTACAAGTATTGTTCTGAAAAAGTACAAATATTGCTCTGAAACAGTACAAGTATTGTTCTGAAAAAGTACAAATATTGTTCTGAAGCAGTGCAAATATTGTTCTGAAAAAGTACAAATATTGTTCTGAAGCAGTGCAAATATTGTTCTGAAGCAGTGCAAATATTGTTCTGAAGCAGTGCAAATATTGTTCTGAAGCAGTGCAAATATTGTTCTGAAGCAGTGCAATGGACAACATCGAGCCACATTCAATACTTTTTCAGCACTTCTCCGTAGTTATATATGAAAGACAATTCGAGATAAAAGTCGTAGTACAATGGAACAATATGTTGCACACCATTTGTTGTGAACCAAACTTGAAAGTCAGAGAAACTGTTACTAGGTGGTTCGTAGAATTTAGAAGCAAAGTCATAAAAGTCCTTACCAATACATAGAAAACTATTGTTGCTTGAACTGAAACTTGCATGACACATGACATTTTGAGGGTCAAACACGTTTCTATAAACTGTCAAATCTGCTGGTGGGCGTATAAACCAGAACGGACCGTCAGGTGGTAATGGTTCGTTCTGGTTTAGTAACCGAAGAAATTGTGCCCAAGAACGTTTGTCTACTTGCCAAAATAAAAACTGTGTATCTCTTGGAGGGTTATTTTCAATCCTTTGAAATGAAACTGTGGAGTTCATCTTGTCATATTCTAGTTTCAGATAGTATGTTCCATTTAGTAAAGAATCGTATTTTTCTTGAAATTCCCAGTAGTATTTGTTTATTTGAGTTTGAAAGTCATTTAGAGTCTTCTCAAGACTTTCGTCTGAACGAACTGTAAAGATTCTCATTTCGTCAAATTTGTCTAGTAGACCATCATGACCTCTATACCGCCCATGAAAATATACCGCAAACATAAACGCGTTAGTTCTTTTTGAAAACAAAACTCTTCTAAATCCTATTGCCTTTGCATCTGAAGGACTTTGAAGCCAACGAATTGGAAAGTCAAACCTGTAAGCACCGGATGAAATTTCTTCATCTGATATTGTCCTACCGGCATTTGTAAAGATATAGTCTAACGGTTTTGTATCTGCTACTTTTGTTCTTTGTTTTTCAACCTGAAACATTTAATATATGTAAAAATATACTGTTTTAAAAAAAATGTTTTAAAAAAGTATGCCATATAGCTTCTTGAATTTGTTAAGATATAGTCTAATGTATTTTCCATCTGTATCTCTAGCGTTTACATAAGCACAGCCTTCCTTAGTAAAACATACTTGTAATTTCCTATAGTTTACGCCGGTATAAAGGTAGAAAGAGTCCTGTTCTTCGCTATAGTAGTAAAACTCAAACGTATGCTTACCATAGTCTGTAATTTCAATTGCTTCATCTTCTAGTTCGTCGACAAATTCGAATACAATATCTCTAAATTTGCCTATGTTCTTACTGTTTTCAGAACAAGTGACCCAGCGTAAGTTTTCAAGTCTATTGTCGTTTCTTATATGGTTTATGTGGTCTACAAAAGGTAGATTGTTAGGATTCGGTATAAAATGAGTTGCAATGACAACATGTTTAAAATAGTGTTTTCCACCAATCCTCATCCTAGCATATCCGTCATTTTGCTCCCATTCGCTTAAAACTCTTTTTGTCTCTTTCTTCCTTATTTCAAAAGGCTCAGAACAGTGAATTTCATATTTCTCATCTAACAAACAAGTTTCCCAACGGTCCTTTCCGACAGACTCAGCGTACATTTTTATAAAAATAAAAAAATATATTTTTTGAAAAAATGTTTTTTTCTTTTACTTTACGTAACCACCAGCTGCCATAAGTCTTTGACGCCAACCCATACCAGCTAATGAAGGTTGACTTGGTTTAGTCTGGAGACTAAACTTTGGTTTTGGTTTATCTTCAGTTTTTGGCTCACCTTCTTCTATTGGTTTTTCGTCACTTTTCGGTTCCTCTGACTTTACCTCACTTGCTGGAACAGTTGTGTCGTTAGTATCTTCATAAATATCATATGCCATTTGTTTTTGTTTTCCTTTCAACTTTTTGTGTTTGTTGTAAAGTTTAGAATATTTCGACTCTAAGTCAATGAGATGTTCTATAATGAACTGTTGGTCGGTAAAATATACTTTTCCATCTGTTGTCTCATAAACTCCTTCAGACTTCAATATTTTATTTGTGAGAGTTTGTTTCTTTTTTGAGATACTAGCCGTTCCATTTCTATGAAAAGTGACTTTATAGTTAGGGTTTGTATTTCCAGACCTGGCACTTTCTATTATTGAATTTTTCTCTTCATCTGTAAGTTCTTTGACAGGTTTTGACAATGGTTCTGAACTTTTTGTTTGTGGTGTCAAATCTACCGTTTCAACTTCTTCGGTCATTTCATCTCAGTAAAAAATTTTAGTTTGGTTTGTTTTCAACTGGTTGTTTAGGTTTTTTAAGTCGGTCTAAAACTTCCTGAGGTATAGGAAGAACTTGACAAACACGTGGTTGTGTAACTGCTGGAAGCCGACAAATCCATCTTGAGCCCATTTGTCTCAATGCTGTATTGTTCATTTCATCTCAGTAAAAAAATTTACATTCCCCACGTTTGAGGTGGTTGCGGTTGGTTATTGTTTACCCACTGTTGTGCATGGTTATATCCTCTGTTAAAGAATCTTTCACCTTGGTCCATATAGTGTCCTGCTTGGTTATAGTAGTCATTTGCTTTGTTATAGTAGTTTCCTGCTTGTGTTCTTACATTGTCCATCCAGCCTTGAACTTTTCCTCTTGTTTCAGGATTTGGAATAAGATTTGCTGCATCTCGTGCTACATCCCAACCTTTCTGTACAGTTTGTATAATAGGTTGTGCTTTCTCTTTAAGTATACCTAATGTACTCAAAATCTTCCTTCCAACTCCAAATACACCTCTGGCTATTGTTCCCACTGCGGGCAAAAATCTGGATGCAACTCCTGCTAATGCGCCAAATAAACCCATTTCTTATGGGTTAAAAAATGACGAATCCAAACAAGGACCCCTATGTTTCTAAAGCGACAAAGAAAGCACTCATGATAAAAATCTTTAGTTCAACACCAAATGCTTGGTTTATGGATATCTTGGAAAACATTCCGAGGTATAGAGAAGATGGACCACCATACTGGCTAATATTTGTCGGTCAAAACACAAGATACTGTGAAGCCATACCATTACAGTCCAAAAATATTTTAGATATCTTAGCAGCTTTGACAATATTCGTTGACAAATACCATCCAACAAAACTGACATCTGACTGTGAAAGTTCTTTCAAATCAGACGATATTAAAAACTATCTGCGTTCAAAAAATGTAAACCAATATTTCATTGTCGACCAAAACCATTCTACTCTTGGTGTCATTGACAGTTGTATAAAAATCTTAAGAGACTTAAACCAACCACAAGGCGGCGAGGTAGATGAAATGTCATATGACGACAAGTATAGACATTTCTCCATGGCAAAGATGAGACAAGTTTTAAATATTTACAATAGCCGTAAACAAAAAGGTTTGGGAAACCACTCCCCTGAAGAAATGAAAAACAACCCTGACTTAGAGAAAGACTATATATTTAATAATTTAGTCAAAAGAGACAAACAAGAAAGAATGCCAGGCTTCAAACTTCAGAAAGGTGACAAAGTAAAAATAGAAATACCTAAACGCGACCCATATGAAAATACTATTGACTATGACAACAATGGGAACTCGACAGGTACTCGCATTCGTGTTCGTAAAAATAGAAGAAAGTATACAAGAGAATATTATGAAGTTTTAGGCAAACATGGCAAAATGTACAGACTGCAAGCAGAAGATAAAACTACTATTGTCAGACCTCGTTTCAAACTTGTTAAGGTTCAAGGTGGTATACTTTCAAAGACAGTTCCTAACAAATATAAGACAACTCCTGACGAATATGCTAAAGAAGTTGAAAATGACGACTAAGCATTTCTATACCATGCGTAAACTGTCATGTAAGGTGGCATGTAGTCTTTACTTTGTCCCGTTGTTTGCGTATACTCTGAAACGAAATGTGTATGGTCTCCTCCTACCTCAGTGTTATCCAAGTAACAATTTATAGCAAACTGAACGTTGTCTTTAACATCATATCCTTTACCTTTTGTCATTCCTGTCCAATCCCAATATTTATGCCTATGCCCACCTTCTCGAGATGTAGTTAAACTTACGTAGTGACTGTGCGCAGGTAAGTTTTCACCTGAAATCGTTTTACTTCCACCTGTTTCCTTTGAAGAGTTTGCACAATACAAAAACCTGTCGACTATTTGAGTCCACGTACCAAAACCAAGTACTACTTCTGGTCTGGTAGAGTTCATTGACGTATAAATAGAACCAACCGGGTAAATGGTTTGAAGTATTTCTGTCTTTAACGTTTGAAGCTCTGTTTTGTCAGCTTTCTTATCATATAAATCTTGAGCAGTGAATTTAACTTTGTTTTCATCCTCCATGACATAGACATTTCTACATTTAATGTCTTTCATCGTTGTTATGTCATCCTCCGATGTTAAACCTTGTGGAAAGTTAGGAGGTTTCCAATTTAATACATCCCCACCAGTTCCATCAGGTTCTTCAACCGTTCCTGCAATATTTTCTATACCAACAGTTGCGAAGAAATCGTGTGTATGTCCAACGTCACTTTTCTTGTTTAAGGTTTCTTGTAAGTTTGTAATATTTGCAATGGTATGTGTATGAGTCTTTTTAGAATATTCTTTGTCAGCTCTTGTCACTTCACTTGACATTTTATTGTCAACATATGTTTTATCTGCCTTGTCATCTAACTTTTCTGGTAGTTCATCTACGTCATAGATGTTATGTGTATGATGTTTTTGTGGGTATGTTCTATCTGTCCATGCGAGAATATAGTCTCTTGTTGCATCTACATACTCTTTGTCAGCTTTCTTTTCAACATCTGCTTTCAAAAGAAGTTCATCTATAGGTTTCTCGTTTAAAGTTCCTTTTGTTGGATTTATACAAACAGTATGGTTCTTACTGTCTTGAAATAGAAACTCGTCTGTCAATGGTTTAATGTCAGTTTTAAGTTTCCTTCTTTCAATGACTCAGATATCTTAGAATAGTTTGAAAAGTTTGTTGTGTTCTTATTTAGAGCTTGTATAATGAGTTGTCGGTTGTGTTTTATTTTCTCATAGACGCTGTTTCATTTGACATTTTTATTCTAGATAAAATATGCTTCCAATAGAAAAAGAAAATTCAAGAGTTGCTACAACTAAACCATTAGATGAACTTTTTACTAATGTCGGTCAAAAGTTTGAGACAGAGACCGTAAAGCATGAAGGCTATCGTTTTGACTACCCGTTAAGATGGTTAAGAGACCCATCTGTCACAAAAGCTATTGGCTTTCGTAGAATGAAGTTTGTGTCTGTAGAAGATAAAAGTTTTCCATTTATTGTAAGGTTTCATATAGATTATATATCTGAAGGGAAACGAAAAATGTGGGAAGAAATTGAGCTAATACAAGTTGACCTTTCATCTTCTCTACAGACTGCGTTAAAAAATATAGAAGATAAAATAAATTCATGTTATGCAAAATATGCTGATGAATATGCAAATACCGAGAGCACACTTTATGTGAGAATTGTATATGACAAACAAAATTCACAAGTGTCATTTCAAATCTACGAAGACAATCCAAAGAAAGACGAACAAATATATACAGAATTCACTGCAATGTCATGGTATTATTTGCAAAGAATGTTAAATCAGAAAGTCGAACTTCCTTTAGCAAATATTACAGTCGATATGCAAGAGATGAACCATATTTATTTAAAGATGTTTTCGACCCAGCTGCTATTATTGTTCATGCTTCATTTTCTGGCGCCCAAAACTCTTTCTTATGCTTGGCAAATGACTTTTACGAAAACCTACAAAGTTATACGAACCACCAAGTGGAAGTATTTCAGACTTTCAAGTATGGTTTACTACAGATGGAAGAAAAAGAATAATTCCATTATACCATGCGTTTTACTTAGAACTTAGTTTCATATACAACTACTATCGAACGGTAAAAATATAATTTTTAATACGGTTGAGGTGTTGGATTTGGTTGCCAACTAGACTGTGGTGCAGGTTCAGGCTGTTGTATAACAGGAGCTTGTTCTTCTGGTTCAGGGTCTTTAGGTATAATACCAACAAACTGACCTACTCTTTTACCAATATTTTTGACTCCGTTCCAAATTCCTCTTCCTACGGTTTTTATTCCATTCCATATACCTCTTCCAACATTTCGAAAGAAGTTTCCAATACTACTGAAGAAACCCATTTTACTATATGTAAAAATCTAATGTCCACCTAGTCTCTTACGTTTCCTGTTGAGTTCCATAGCATTCTTTAACTGGAGCTCATACATTCTGTTTCTCCTCTGGTAGAAAACATATTCTGGGTCAACTCCTGTGTTCGCGTCATCTGCATAAAGTTGTTTATATCCCACTTCAGGGTTTGTATAAAACTCTTTCCATCTCATATTTGCATACCATGGTGGCAAACCTAACGCAGCGTCATTTGACATGGCAGTTTGCATTTGTACATCTGTTGGCACTTGACCATAGTTTGCCATTGCAGTTTGTATTCTAACTTCATTTGGAATATTCTCTGGGTTTGGTTGTCCAGGTTGCTGTGCATTCGCTAAGTTCTGTGCGTCCATTTAATATTAGATAAAAATATCTCTTACGAGTACATATACTGGACATTTGCAGGCATTGGTTCATCTTCATATTCTCTGTACTTTTCTGCCACGTCAAAGAAATAAATGACACAATGGAAAAAACCTAAAACAAGTAGTCCTATTTCAAACCACATTTAGTTACCAATAAAATTTCTTTGTTATGACACTTTCTCCAGTTTATGGGACCTCTCTCATATTCTATCTTGTCATATATAAACTCATAGTCATGTATGTCCTCTAACCATCTCATGACACTTTCCAAACCACTTTTATCGGATGTAAAGTAAAAGCATGGATGGTTATGTAAAACGTCTAAAGTTTCTAAAGAGTCTCTCAAAGTCCAGTCTACTTGGTATTGAAAATCCCATGTGTTATAGAACGGCGGGTCCACTATAAAGAAAACATTTTCCTTGTCTTTATATTTTTCATACAACTCTGTCCAATGACATCTCACAAACTCTATACCCTCAATATATTTTTCTATGTCCTCTTTGAAAACATTTGTATAGTTAAGATATAAAACTTTTGACATAAGTGTTTCAATGTCATGAACTCTTATAGCACCACTATATAATAGTCTAGCAGATATACTATCCCAGTCTATATATTCTGCTTTTTTCAAAACCTCTCTGACAATATCTTTCTTATCTAATGGTATACGTTCCATCTTACCTATAGGTATCTTTTCTTTCAACTCACTCAATATTTTGTTTGTGTCTGGTATATGTTTGAGACGGTTCATATAGTTGTCGAAGTCATTGCATATAATCTTTGAGTCAGGAAATACAGTATGGCACAGATGGGATATATAGAAACTTCCACCGAACAAATCTACAAATGTTAGACCATTCGGTAGTTTCTTAAGTTCTCTCAATAGAATATCTTTACATCTACTCTTATTTCCAAAGAAGGGTAACGGTGGTTTTGTAAAATTCATTTTATATACAATAAAAATGTTTTTTTCCTGAAAAGTGACAGAAAAGTGACAAAACATTTACGAAGAAATCTTGACAAATTCAAGAGGGTAGAAAAGAGGTTAGAAAAGAGGTTATATCTAACCTTCTACCCTAAACATTATTTTTGTCTGATTTTACGAAGAAGTCTTGACAAAACATGAAAACATATATAATTTGTGAAAAGCTCCTGGAAGACCCGTATATAAGAACTTCATTTATACTAAACATCTTCAGGGCTAGAAGGCACGAAGTGCCTGGAAGCCCCACTACCTTTTTTTTTTTTTTTTTTTTTTTTTTTTTTTTTTTTTTTTAAAATCTATTTGATAGTTGTAAGCAAACAATAATTTTTATTTCAAGCAAAATCAATTATTTTCATCTAAACGTATAAAATTGTCAATTTTATGAGAATAAATTTAAAATCTCATGAAATATAAAGGAGAGTAATATTTTTCAATTTTCTTTTTTTCTTTGTCTCAAATATTTTCTGTTGGGAATTTTCTTGTTATCAAAAAATAATTTTAATATTTGTTTATTTTATTACATACAATAAAATTTTAAAAACTCTATTTGTTCACAAGAAAATTTTTTTCCCTTCATATGAAGAAACATTTTGTTCTCCATTTGATGCTGAGTCTAAATCTCGATTTTTGATTTTTCTTCTTTCCAAATTTCTTTTTTCCAAATTAGAAGTTTAATTCAAATTTTCAATAGTTTATATATTTTCTCAAACCGTCTCAGATTTTCTCACTTTTTAGGGATTTTCTCTCAAAATATACAAAAATAGTAATATCAATACATGTGTCTAATATACTTTAAAACCATCGTGATAAAATTCAAAAACGAAGAGTTCTTCTCTCCATATTTTTTTCAAAATCAAAAAAATGAGATAAAAAAGTACGTTTGGAAAATTCATTTTTAGCATTTTAGGAATTTTCTCACTTTTCTTCCAAATTGACATCCTTAGTTGTTAAGATTTATATGATATGTAATGCTTGTTCATAAGATAAAAATGCTTGTATGATAAATAATTAAATTATTTCTATAATCAAAAAAAAAAAAAAAAAAAAGGTAGTGGGGCTTCCAGGCACTTCGTGCCTTCTAGCCCTGATGATGTTTAGTAATAAATGAAGTTTTTATTCGGAAAATTGTTAGTCTTCTGGGTCGAAAACATTATATAATGTGTCGCTTTTCACAAATTATATATGTTTTCATGTTTTGTCAAGACTTCTTCGTAAATGTTTTGTCAAAACTTCTTCGTAAAATCAGACAAAAATATAATTTAGGGTAGAAGGTTAGATCTAACCTCTTTTCTACCCTCATGAATTTTCATGATTTCTTCGTACATGTTTTGTCAAGACTTCTTCGTAAATGTTTTGTCAAAACTTCTTCGTAAAATCAGACAAAAATATATTTTAGGTGAAGAGGTGAGATCTCACCTGTTTTCTCACCTCTTGAATTTTCATGATTTCATCGTAAATGTTTTGTCAAGACTTACTTCGTAAAATGGTTTTGTCAAGACTTCTTCGTACATGTTTTGTCACTTTTCTGTCACTTTTCAGGAAAAAACATTTTTATTATTTATATATAAATGAATTTTACAAAACCACCGTTACCGTTCTTTGGAAATAAGAGTAGATGTAAAGATATTATATTGAGAGAACTTAAGAACTACCGAATGGTCTAACATTTGTAGATTTGTTCGGTGGAAGTTTCTATATATCCATTTATGTCATATAATATTCCCAGACTCAAAGATTATATGCAATGACTTCGACAACTATATGGACCGTCTCAAACATATACCAGACACAAACAATATATTGAAAGAGTTAAAAGAAAAGATACCTATAGGTAAGATGGAACGTATACCATTAGATAAGAAAAATATTGTGAGAGAGGTTTTGAAAAAAGCAGAATATATAGACTGGGATAGTATATCTGCTAGACTATTATATAGTGGTGCTATAAGAGTTCATGACATTGAAACACTTATGTCAAAAGTTTTATATCTTAACTATACAAATGTTTTCAAAGAGGACATAGAAAAATATATTGAGGGTATAGAGTTTGTGAGATGTCGTTGGACAGAGTTGTATGAAAAATA